GTAAGTTTTCTGTAACAATCCTGATTATCTTTTAACTAGTGGCACAGAGACACAACCCTAGCCTCAGGGGGTCACAAGCTAGCATAGTGCTGGTCCGAAGCCAGGATAAATGGAAGGTTTGCCTCAAGAAAGGCATGTGGTGAAAAATCTGTGCCAAATACCAAATCTGTGTCAAATTAAGTGGACTCATTCATTGCGGTGACCCATGGAGAAATAAGAGAGCAGGCAAAAGTACTTTAACTCATTATCTTTTGACTAAATATACATTATTGGGCCACATCTCTTAATCTTTGAATTCAGCTTTTTTTCAATGTCATTGCAGCAGATGTACAATATCAAGCAACTAGCATGGCAAAGGGCCCTTATAAACATTTGTAAAAGAGCAGGTTGTTCTGCAGAGATCACTGAATTTAAGCGTAGTGCTGTAATAGGATCTCGTCACTGAAAACATTGTTTCACAATCAGTGGTAAGTGGTAATATAGCAAAGTAGAAGTGTTTAGGAACCACAGACACTCCGCCGTGAAGTGAAAGTTACAGAGCGCTCTGCTGACTCAGTAATTGCAGAGATCCAAACCTCCTTTGACATTAACATCAGCATCCCAGTGTCGACTGGGAGCTTCATTGCACTAATTTCAATAACTGAGCAGCTCCTTTAGATGTTCCATGTAGGTGGCCCAGTATTTTGTCTATACAGTATACAGCAGTCCCTCGCTATAACGCGGTTCACCTTCCGCAGCCTCACTGTTTCGCAGATTTTTTTGTGCAATTTTGCATGCTTTTTTTTAACAGCGCATTGTGTTCTGCGTCCTGATTGGCTGTAGACCACTGTCAATCAATCTCCGCTGTGCCGTGTTTCCTGTACAGTACAGAATGCGTTCAGCTTGTCAAATTTACACAAATCTTCGATCGCTAGCAGTGTGACTCTGAAGTGCTGCACTGTATGTTTGTAAGTTTTCTCCCCAACAAACACAACAATGCCGATGAAACGTTTTGCACCATCAAAGGCAACCGCGGGTGCCTTTGGTTTCATTCTATAATACTGGACGTTTGAGAGTGTTTAAACAAGAGAGAAAAGTGTGAAAATGTTCGTACCTGTCTGAGAAATGTGTATAAAGTGTGTAGTGAGGGGTTTTACAGCCTTACAAAATCTATAATAACTGTAAAAAATAAAATTGGCTACTTCGCGAATTTCACTTAACGCGGGTTATTTTTAGAACGCAACTACCGCAATAAACAAGGGACCACTGTATACCAAATCATCTCATAAGGGTTTTTTTTTTAGGTAAAAACAAAGTATTTAAAAACCAGAATGTCAATAATACAGAAGCTTATCAAGCTCATAATCCAACACAGTCCACAGGCTACTGTAATGAGTGAAGAACAGAAAGGAGTCTAAGGAGCTTGAAAAGAAAAGCGTCTGGACTTTTTTAAGTTGCTTGAAGACGTTTCACCTCTCATCCAAGAAGCTCCTGAAGAAGCTTTTCTTCCCAAGCTCCTTAGACTACGATGACCTGGATGACTGAGAACCTTCACAGACAAACAGAAAGGAGGTTACAAGTTTTCCTGTTACTATACTAACTATATTGCACAAACTAAAGATAATTAAACTAAAGTTAATTAAAATCTACAAGAATGCACACAAAAAATCATATTCATAGTTTTATGGGCACTTTTCCCAAAAATTGCTACTCCACCTAGGGCAGTGGAGTCTAACTTCAGGCCTCTAAACGCAGTCTCCTGCAGGTTTTAGATATCACCCTGGGTCAACACACCTTAATCAAATGATTAGTTCATTACCAGGCCTCTGGAGAACTTCAAGGCGTGTTGAAGAGGTAATTTAGCCATTTAAATCAGCTGTGTTGGATCAAGGACACATCTAAAACCTGCAGGACAACGACCCTTGAGTCCTGGAGTTGGACACCCATCCCTAGGTGGTGTAGCGATTCTTGGGAAACGTGTCTATAAAACTATAAATACAACCCTGACACTGAGCAGAATTTAGGTGAAGACCTTTTAAGTGATCGCTGTGCAGGTTTCTCTAAAATCTGACCAATATTTCTAATTCTTGTGAATTGCACTATGAAGGATGGATGGACAGATGCCTCACCATTGCATCCGTCCATTTGGCTGGATGAGCTAAAATAGGAAGAGATTTTAAAGAAGAAATATTGTTCAATTCTGCAGTTATTATTGTTATTATTATTATTTTACTTTCCTCACCTAAGAGGAAAGGTGGTCCTAGGAGAAGACTTACCTGTTCATAGCTCATGTTGGTCTTGGTGACAAGCTCGTCCAGATCTTGCTCATTGAGGAAGTGGTGCTTCAAGTAATACTCCTTCAGGATCTCCTTCCCAGTCTTAAACTTCTTTGATGGGGTTGGCCTGTCGACATCCGAACTTAAAGAAGTGGACCTTCTTGGCTGCTTCCTGGTTCGGGATCGTCCCCACCCACGATTTCGCCCACGTCTTTTCCGACTGCCGCTTCCCAGTTTACTCCCACCTCCGCTGTTTGGTCCTTCGATGTTGCCACTTTGGTATTGAAAGAACCACTTCAGGTTTCCGTTCTTCCAGGAATACCGAGAGTCCCCGAACCAGCTGACAATGTAGGAGCGAGCAAGGCCGCTTTCCTCTGCCAGCTGATCGTACTCCTCTGGTGTGGGCCACTGGGTCCTAACAAAGGCACTTTTCAGAATATGGAGCTGCTCCGGAGTCTTTTTACTCTTGTCCTTAATGTCCTTCCTGTTGCTGCTGGGCAAATGCTTGGTGCGATTCCCAGGAGGAGTTTGACTACCTTTTCGAGATGAGGAGGCAGGAGGTGAAGAAGAGGCCGTTGCTCCTGTTCCTCCCCCTTCTCCTGCTTTTGCTCCATCTGTTTCTATTTTTCCTCCTTCAGAGGAATCTGGAGACGAGGTGCTGACGGATGGCATTTTTCGTCTCTCAGTGAACCAGGCGTCAATTTCCCTCCGTGTCAGTTTAGTCTCCGTCCTCAGGCGGCTCAGCTCTTCATCTGAAGGTGTGGTGTTCTTCTCAAAACTCTCCTCCAGCACCACAAGCTGCTCCGGCGTCTTCTCCTTAAACTTCTGCAGGGTAAAGTCCGGAAACGGGTTCCACGTTTTGGGACGGGTCTCCTTCTCCTTCACGGGAGGTGTACGTGGAGGATGGGGTGATGTCGGGGTCTCGTCGCTGGAGTCGATAACAATGGTGGTGTTAGCAGCGCTGCTACATGTGCCCCCGCTTCTACCACCTCCGTCGTGAAACACGATGACATGGCTGTTCTTGGAGTTGCGCTGGTTGTACCTGGTGTCACTGAACCACTTTTTGATCTCCCCTTTCGTCAAGTTGGTAAGTTTCATCAATCGGGCAATTTCAGCATCTGTGACAAAGTGGTTCTTCAGGTAGCTGGCTTTCAGCTCCGCCAGCTGCTCTTTGGATTTCTTAGGTCGCATGCTGAATGTGTCAACACTGAGGGCTGAGTTCTCCTTAGAGAGAGAAGGAAAAGGGTACATTTATTTACTTTTTTTTTTTCTCCAACACAGTTCTAGCTGAAAGAAACACCACGAGGTCATTTTTGTGTACTGATTATAAAGCCATTCAAGGTTCTTGTTGGTAGCACTGAGCTGTAAGTGCTTTCCACACCTGTGGTGAAAGAGAGGGAGGCTGGATAGTGGTAGCCCGCTTCAGCTCACTGTTTGTCAGGGTGGGCTGGCAGGAAACTCTGCTGGAGCTCTGGGACTGGCTAGGCAACCCTGCCACTGTCAGGGTGATGGGACTGGTCACTGGAAGGTTGCCTCCTGGGCCAACCTACATAGCATCAGAAAAAAATAATAATAAGGGACAGAGATGTGATGTTTTGTTTAAAGGGAAAACATGTTTATAAAACAAAAGTGTTTTTAAGTGTTTAACCGCTGTAATGTTTTCATGTACTTGTGCTAGTGGCTTTTTTGGCAAGACTTCAATTCCCATCTCCTCTCATGTCTGGCTAAAGACCAAAATCAACAGAGGTCAGAACATCCAGCTCACTCAAAAAGAATTCAGTTCTCACACACCAAAGTGAGAGTAATAATTCACCTATTTGTTCTGCATTTGGTATAAGAGGCTCGATTCCAGAGATGCAAAGCAACGTCAACATTGGGTGTAAAAGCACGAGAGAAGTCTGTGTGTCCATCAGTACTGTTGTTTCTGAGTGGCTAATTTAGTATTACTGGAATTCAGAATGCAATCCAAGCCAGCTTTTATGGAATTGGCTTTTCAAACTGTTAAAGTGATGTGCTCATTTTCAAATCGTCACTGTGACATCGACAGGAAAGCTATTCATAGGCGCACACCTTCTTAGATGGATTTGTAATTGATTACTCCTTTCTTTGCATTACATTACTACTCATTCAGACTAGTTCATTGTACCTGAGACAAGGTGAAAAGCTGAGAAGCCCAAACCAGGTTAAGGCTGGGTCAAATGTAACACGTGTTTTTTCCTTACCTACCTGTGTGAACACGAGGCCAGGCTGGCCCACTATCTGGCAGGTCTGAAGGATGGACTGCAGGCCGTTAGCAGCAGCCGACAGCTGGTGAGCAGGTATGACAGTGATAGTCTGAGGCACAGTGTGCACCGTGCCATTAAACTGCTTCCTCCTGGCCTCTTCCACTTCTTCTGGAGTCCAGCTGACACCGTGCTTCAGCCTCTGAGCTGAGAACCACACCTGCGACACAGATCGAGTACATCTGACTCTAATATTTTGTTTTAAAGTATACTTTAAAACAGTCCGCTTGTAGATGAAAAATTGGAATTCCAATTGAGGTAGCTTTTCACTTGTAAAACAACAAGTAATACTACACTACAAAAACAATGATGGCCATAACACAAAAGTAATTATCAGTAATGAGCCTCTGAATTCCTTATTGGTGAATCACCAATATATCAGATTTTTAGCCCTACTTACTTAAATGTGTGAAAAATATTCAAAATAAGAACTAAGAAATCATGAAAGCTTTATGAGCAGAGGTACCTTGATCTGTTCCTCTGTGAACTGTGTCTGTGCTGCCAGGCTGCTGATCTCAGCCATGGAGGGGTAAGGGAACTTCTTATATGTGGTGCCCAGCAGAGGGTTAGTGTCCATAGCGGCACTGTAGGAGGGGATGCTGCTAAGTGGAATCAGCAGCTGGGGCTGAGCTGCTGCTGTGTTTTGCTGGGCCTGGAAGGCAGAGAGCACCTGGAACAAAGACAGAGAGGGATGGAAATGAGAAATGTCATCCATGCAGAGCAGCTAAAGGAGAGATGGTGTCCAAGCTCTATTTGGCAGGCTTCTGACCAGCTGAAGTGTTCCTGAACGAGGCAATGAATATTTATCAGCTGAAGGGCTGCTATTATGCTGTTGATATTTAACATTACAGCAACCCTTTGTCCAAAAGCTTGCAGCGGGTTTTAGGTACAGACCGCTGCTGGGTCTCACCACATGCATTAATTGCTCACAGGCACTGGTAAAATCGGAATTCGTACAGCTGTAAAACACATGACATTATATAGTGTCTCTACCTGTGCCAGACCAGCAGGCAGGACTGTGGGATTTAAAATGGAGGACTTCCTCTGCTGTTCAAACTGAGGGGTGATCAGCAAGCCGCCTCCCCCGAGCTTTATGGAGTCGTGCATGAGCATCTCCACAGGCGTCATCGGCCCCAGAGGAGCTTCAATGGGTTCCTGCTCCCCACCCAACTCTCCCTCGCCACCTCCTCCAAAAGCCTCCGCTGCCTCGTCTGCCGATTTCAGGGACACAGCGATTCTCTTGGGTTCAGATTTGGTCTTCATCCTCATGATCGGGGTCTTGCTGAGAGAGATGGCAGCAACTGCCGCGGGGTCTGCTCCCCCCTCCTCAGGGGTGTCACACTGTTGCTCGTGGGTGGGCTGGTCGCTGCTCAGATCCTCAGGAGGATTTGTAGTGCTGCTTTTCAGTGATGGACCGACAGCCTCTCTGTTGCCTACAGTAGATACACCAGGTTCATCTGTAGTATAAACAGTAACAATAATGCAGCATTCATTATTTACAGCACATCTGTGTATACTAAGTATATTACAGGTTTGTCAGGTGAGAATGAGACCAAGAAAGAGTCTCACCTGAATCTGGTGGAACAGGAACAACAACTACAGCCTGCCCCAGCTCTTCTGCAGTCAGCCCCTCCTCCGTTCCCTCCTTCACCTTTCCCTCCTCCTCCTCCTCCCCAGCGTCTTCCTCCTTCGTTTTCTCTGTTTTCTCCTCCACCTCCTCTTGCTCCTGCTCAACCACATCAGAGGGCACCACCATGCAAGGTGTGGTGGATTTCCGGCGGCTCGACATTGTCAAACCAAACTTTTTACTTCTCCGGCAAAACTAGATGCGTGGCAGAACTGCCGAGACTCACATATCGCAAGCAAACGTGCTCCCACTTTAAAGTCCTTGAATTCTGTATTTCTGTTGAAAAACACACACACAGACAAAACAGTTATTCAAATAATCTGCCCACTGTTGCTTAAGCATTCCTGTTGTTGTTATCAAATCTTTCCTTTGCTGCCAAAGGTAAGAAACTGTGTGTGGGACAGGAGTTCAGTTTTCAGCTGTGCATTTGTTACTGAGTTGAGTGTTTTAAAGAGGCACGTAGGGAAGGGCATTACAAGTAAGCCCAAGCTATTTAACCTGAGTGAATGCAGGTTTAATTAATTACAAAGCGTAATTACGCTGAAGGCTTAAAACTCCAACTTATTCTTACAAAATGACTGGACAGGGTTTTATTTATTGTTTCTTTTATTCTTTGTGTTTGATTTTATTAACAAACGACTTCAGGCCCCCAGTTTGGACGGGCAATCCTTGGAAAGCTGCAACACACAGTCTGTAACATTCGGCGAGTGTGCTATTTTAAAAACAGAAGCTTAATGATTGCCTAAATGTCATGCATTTAGGAGACATCTATGAACTGGAGCTACACATGCTGCACTAGCTTTGTACAATTACTACCTTCAGGATATGATTCATAAAACCCACATAAGACTTTCACTTCATCTTTAAGGCTTTTACCACTTAACTAGCAGTAAAGGTGTCAATGACGGTGGGGTTAACCTCTGATACTGTTACCAATTTCAGTTTAGAGCATTACTATGGGATCAAGCTGACCGGCAGCGGTCACTATTTAAGATCAAACAATCACCCAAACAAATCATTGATTAACACAGTTAGTTCCACCCTATGCTGCAGATAAAGTCCCCATGAGGTGATTTCTTTTTTCATTTCGAATGAAGTTATTCATCATGTTCATTCATCAGTATACTGCAATATGTGTCTTTAATTACTTGATGTGTGATGATGATAATGATGATGTTATAACAGTGAGACAACTAGGCCAGTTAAGTTATATTTTTACATAGTGCACTGCACAGGCTACAAACTGCACAGTCCTTCAGATGATGATGTAACTGCATGAAATTGTGAGGCGAAACTAAAACTTGGTCAGCTGAGTTCTCTGCCTCCTAAAGTCATCACAGACACTTGTGAATTTATACCAGAGACATTAAAAGAGAGATACTGCAACAGCAAACATGGTGCTACAAGCATAACTTCAAAGAGTGGGAAGATTGTTAAAAACAAAATCTCATTTTAAGGCAAATTCAGCAAAATTTTAAGCATTTTTTTTTTATATCAGATTTGATGAGTGATTTGATACATGTGGTATATTTGACTGTTGAAAACAAGCAGCATTCAGACAGTGTACATGTGTTGTACATGTAGACATGTTATTAACAGGTTATTATTAGGCTATTAATAACAGGTGTTACACATAATACACTGGGCACAGAAGGTAACAAGAAATAATCATACAGGACTTAAAAGGGGCCGCATCCTCATATACAGTCACGTGAAAAAATCTGAACAAGCAGAGACTGGATCTGCTTTGAAACAGTTAAATCCAGCTGAAGAAGATATTCAAATAAATGACAGTAAATTTACATTTAGATAAACAAAGGAGATCCATAAAATTTGAGTCAGGTGTTTGAGATTAGGTGCGGGTGATAACAACCTTCTTCGGAAGTGACAGTGAGTTCTGTTTTATTTAAACTTTGACATCTGTGATCTTGAAGTGTGTGGCGTCATCCTGTCAAGGTCTAAAGAGAAGGCCTTCAGAATACATCTTGTAGTTGTGGAGACTATAAGTTTGGCAAGGGCTTTAAAAAAGACCGCTAAAATGACTTAAATTAGTCAGATCAGGATATATTAAAGCAATTATGGTAGGGGGATCATATCATAATCTATTTCATTATTTACATCTCGCTTTAAGGCACAGATTTCCTGCTCAAAAATAATATTTGAATTCACTTTGCATGTATCTTTGCAAATTAAGAGTTCAACTTAACAGCTTATGGATGCCAGGTTGTTGACTGTGACACAAGTGCTACAGCAAATAAGCAAACATTTTCCTTTAACACGCCTCTGCACACGCTTTGAGCCAACTTCTCCTGACTTGTTGCTGGGAAAGTCACCCTAACAGATTACACAGAGGTGTGGACGGCATGCTACGCTGCTCTGCCATCATGCGCTCATTTGCATCAACTGTTAGCAACTCAATAATGTGGAGGTGTGAGCTAGCTCATTCGTTATAATTATTAATGCCACGTTCAAGCTACGAATTATTTAACAAAATATGGTTAGTTCGACTCTAAGGCATCCGACACGTACAAAGAAATGGGCCAACTAGCCAGTGTTAGCCGGGCCAGTCATAATTATTGATCACGTCTGGCGGTAAACTTACTGGAACTACTGAAATGTGCACTGTGTTGCTACCAGGCTGTCGAGACAAGGCGAGGAGTGATTTCCTGGGTCTCAGCAGAGCAGCTCTCAGCTCCTCTCTGGTGGTATCTGTCGGCGTCTCTGCTTTCCCCCGGCTAACCGCTCAGACCCGAGCCTGGCCCGGGACCGCAGCAGCGTTAACGTTATCCGGGCAAACGGGTCTTACCAAACCCAGCCGAGGGACGCAGACAGACAGACGGACCGGTCTAACGGCTACGGCTGTCGTTGGCAGATGCTGGAAAACACCGGACATCTCCCTCTCTCCCCGTCGGAGCAGGTTACTTCACGCCAAAGCGGGGGCTTCTTTGTCAAAGTTGAACCACCGAACGAACCCACCGGAGTTACATTCATACCGTGCTGTTTGCTGACCCAATTCTCTGATTTTTTTTTAACGGCAGATTTTTTTAATGATCAAACGGCGTCATCATTCAATGTAATACGTCCTGACGTCATTCCTCGGCGACTCTCTCTCTGTGCTCTTAAAAATTTTTGGGAGAAATTTTAGGCTACAAAATGCCCAATTTAACAGCACTACAGTGGACTCGGTGTGAGCTTGTTTTCAGCCGTGATATCCTTAGAGAGTAACTGCGTGTCAAACAGCGTGTGCGGCGGGCCGTAAACTCATCATTTCCCCGATCCGGCTGCGTGCCAAAATGTCCTTACATGACCTGTCAGGGCACGATGAGAAGCTACTTAAGGACAACACTGACAATGCAGACTTTCCTTTCAACACACGCGATACTGTGTACAGTTGCTGTTCAGGCTTTTCTCGTGATTATTTTCACTTTTGAAAAAAAAAAGAGCTATAATGTAAAGAGCTTTTTAAGCTGCCGTAACAAAACGTCTGTTATATATTTAAAATAAAACGAGGTTGTCGCCTCCTTTTGGCTATAAACAATAACAAGAATGCGTCAGAGTATAATGCAACAGTCATACATGAAGCGCGGAATAACTGGTTAAACACTTCAGGGTGTATTTACTTCGCTTTTTGTTATCAGTTAGTTATCACTGGCATTACGCAACCAAAATCAGTGTGTGGATCATTTTAAATGCACTTCATTGAATTAATGTGCCATAATAAAGTCACATGGTTGTTAGGAGACAGGTTGTGAGCATCTGTGAAGGGATGAATGCCTAAAATGGGGTCACATTTTAAAAAATCCCGGATCCTCAATTTCCCATAATGCAATTATTTAATCTCTCCGGTCTACCTATTCTTAACAATGGTCGTTAAAAGTATTATCTATATATAAGATCAGATAAGTTTGTTTGTGTAGTCCCGCCGCAGTCGCTGATAACAACTTGTAAAACTTTCTAAACCTGATTGGCTTTCGAACAGTCAACCATAACTTGTAGTAGTGAAATACAGGAAGTGGTAGTATTATGATGCTTTCTAATACAGAGTCTGCTGATACCCTGAAGTGCACAAATATAGCAGATTTCTGTGGACCTAGTCATTTTTAAATGATCAGCTTGGGGGTAAAAAAAAAAAAGAAGGCACACAACAAAAGTTAGAGGAAACCCATTTAATTAAATATAAACATGAGAAGTAGTACAAAGTATTAGCTAATGCAAATATAGGTGCCTGTGGATTTCTATGAAAATAGAACCAATTTGTTTCTATTTACACATATGGAAGGATGGGAATAACTATTAAAAATGACATTGCTGTTCATGTGGACATGTCAACAGAAGTCTTCAATTTCTTGCTCCATCTCCTAATAAAACAAACACACAAGGGAAGAACTACAGATTAGGAACATTAAAATACTAAAGCAAAAGTAGACATCTTTGAAAATAAAATACAAAACAAAACTGATCAACAAAGTTCAATTGTGATAAAATAGTCATAATCATACGGAGACCCATTGTTAAAGTTATCAGTTACACCAACTCAGAATATCTCCAGGAGCAAAGTTTACCAACACTCCTCCAGTAATCACCTGTATTAGTGCAGTTTTGTTGTAGTCTCGTCTGTGTCTATAGATGCTCTGGCAGAGCAGAGCATACAGTTTCTCCAGCTTATACACCCCATAGCCTTCTGTTTTAGTTACTACCTGCTCCAACAGCACCTGAAAACACACAGGACAAAAAAAAGGGAATGGAATTACACATTTACAAAAGAGAGAGAGAGAAATCTGCAGTTGAGCAGTTTAGTTCTCTTTTTTTCTCGTTGTCAGCACACACTACACAGATGGTATCCCACACCTTTAATTTGTCTTTGTCCACAACTACAGGAGGGGTTTCCTCGTCCAAGATCTGCAGAGCTTTGTCCACATTGATCATCTGCTGCTGCAGCACAGCGTTTTTCAGAGCCCGAGTCATTCGCCTCACGTTCCGCTCTGAGACACCAAACAGACATGCACACACAGGAAAACACACAAAATGTTTACACGATTGTAACAGATGATAGCCTACTGGTATTTTCACTCTGAGGCCCAAGGACTGTGGTCTAGAAGCACTATACTAGTAATCTGCTTTCCCTGCTGGACATGACGTGTGCTTTTTTTCCCCTTTCAGCAACATTTTCAACTAAACATCTGGTGTCACATTAAAGGTGAGAAACCAGTCTTAGTGTTGACATCCAACCTGTGCCTGTGTCCTCCTCTCCTCTGGCAGCTGTGCAGGCATCTGTGGTTGAGGATTCTTCCACCTCCATTGGTTCAGCAGTGATGTTCTGCTCTGCCTCCTCTTCTGTAACTACCTTGATGTTTTCTTGCTGGCCTACACAGCGACTTGGCTCAGTCTGAGTTTTTGACAGTTTTAGAGTTTGAGCATCTACTGCGTGGGGATGCTGGTTATCTGCTTCAGCCTCACTGTAGCTGTGCTTGTTAGTGTTCACTGAAAGAGGTTTGTGGTTCTCTTCTGCTTCCTGTCCTAACAGCTTGTTTTCCTCTAAGTGATGTGCGACAGCATCGTCCACCTTCTCTTGTTCATTCTGCGTCTCGCCGTGATTTTCCAGGTTTGCTTTTTCACATGAGTTGACCTCATCTTCAGGATCCACTTTCTTCTCCACTCTCCCCTCCTCACTGCTTTGTATTTTCTCAGAAAGTCCAAAACCATCTATGTGAGTTTCTGCAGGTTCTGACTCTGCATCAGCTATTGTATGATCCTCCTCTGCTCCATCGCCCTCATCACATTCTTCTCCTGCTTTCTCAACTTCATCCTCATCATCTCCATCCTCTTCCTCCTCATCGGACCCAAGCTGATCATCATTTTTGGACACGTGAGGAGAAATTGACTTCTTCTTTGCATAGTAGCCAGTGGACCATCGGCTCTTCCGACGTTTCTTCTTCTGGGCTGGGGGAAAAAAAAATGTTGTAATCCATAAACTGAATGATTATTTGCAACTGATTTACGTGTATGATTATTTACTACTGATTTAAGTGTATGATCTTTACCTGTATTTTTGGGCGTTGTAAAAGCAGAGGAACATGGATTATTAGTAGCTGGAACTGTGGATCCATCCAGCTGCTGTGAGCTGCTGTCAGTGATCTTAGCCTCAGCAGGAGATTTGGACTGTTTGGGAAGGACGTGGTAGAAGGAGGGAGTAAATCGTGCAGTGGAACAACCTGAGGTAGTCAAAAATAGAAATATGTACACTTTTACTTATTTAAAACTGCAAATGAACTGCTCCTTAAGGAAACCTGAGAGAAACAGAGTTTGTTATATCACATTAAAACGAAAACATTTCAGATTACTCAAGGTTTTTTTTTTTTACATAGCCATTAGTGATTGACTCCAGATTGTTTATTTTATAACTGAGTTAAACCAAACAGTCTTTTTAATTCCATTGGACCAGGACAAATGTCAATAATCATGCACACACACATAGAGATGCAAACTGACCTCTTGCTCTGCGTGACTCCTTGGTCTCCTCACAAAGCTTCTCAAAATCTTCATCCAGTTCATCTTTGATGATAGCATGGACTGTGTCTTTCAGTGCACATGCTCTGTGCCGTATCTGACGATCTGAGGAAATACAAACATTTACACTCCAATCAGCCTATGTGTGAGCACTTGTATTTCACTGATCCTTCTCTTCTCCATGGTGTGTGTGCATGTGTGTGTCTGTTGTTCACTGTGTGTACCTGAGGGATCCCTGTCTGGGTTGTATTCGAGGGCATTCTGCCAGATGAGATCCACGTCCTGAAGGAACTCTTTGACTGTTCTGTACTGATGGAGGTCTATCCTGGAGAGGACTGTTGACAGGTCCATAGGCTTCTTGATCACTTCAGCATAATCTGGAACCTGAAACACAGGACAGATGCTGAGTGAAGGAAAGAGATGAAACCAAACATTTCAGAGGATCTCAGAGGACAAAATCGGTTGATATGAGCACTGCAGTAAATTGCACATTAAACTTGTCATTTGTGGGCATAGGTTTGCTGCCCCCCAGTGGCAGTATCTAAATACATACTTTAGCTAGGCAAATCTTTAACCTTCAGTCATTGCTCCCCTCCTGAAATTTTCTCTACTGTAGTAATCCAGTGCTGTCTAAGGCATTGTTGGAGTACAAGGTAATAATAATAGCACAACTACCTCCTCTAAATCCACTGGCTTTGTAAAAGCCTTGAAGCGCTTATCTTGGGACAGACGGTTGGTGACATCACGTAAAAAGAGGCGAAGCTCTCTGAGGGTGTCTTCCTCCTGCTCCTCCAATCTCTGAGTCTCCTCTTGTGTTAGCTGACGTGGAGCTGGTGGAGGGGCGACGGGCAGCACTTCCAATGCATGAAGCACTGAGACAAGTGAAGAGTTGACAGATTTAATTCAATTCTGTTTTGCAAGAGACAAAATGTATATCTTGGAAGCATCCGCTTTTAGCTTCCATCTAGAATAAGATGAACATTACCGCACTGTGGGACCATATGAACAGATGTTGCACACTTAAACTGAGTGTTTAAGACTGCTGCTTTGAGCCAATTTTAGTCATGAGCTGAGAGATATGTTAGTATGAATGTCTAGGCTTACCAGCTTTCTTTTTTGAGACAGGGGCCTTAGCAGCCTGGTTGAGGATTAGATCCTCAAAGAAGTCTCTTCTTTCCCTACTGGTGGGGACCTGAACTTGGAAAACCTCTCCGTACTCAAGCCGAAACAGCTCCTGTACCTGAGATGAAGAAGGTGAAAGGTGAGAATACCGCAGATGAATGCAGCTTTAAATTTCGGCGGGCCCTTTTGCATTCAGTAAAAACAGAGACACTGATTTATTACACCTTGCAAGAACATTTGACAAAGCAGATAATAACTGTTTATCCTCTGGCACATTTGCAACCCATGAAAAGGGTTGAGCATTACTCATCTTTCCATACCTCAGTGCTGAGTTGGTCATAACGGAGGTTGCAGGTAGCGAGCAGAAGGATAGGAGAGAAGGCCGGGATGGAGCTCAAGAGACTCAGGAAAGTAGCTCTTAAAGCAGGGCCGACTGTTTCCCACCACTGGCCAATGTGAGGGATGTACAGGATACTGGGGGAGGTTCTCTTGGCTTCAACAAAAATCTGCAGAACATGTGACAAGAGCAGTAAATTCTAATGCAATTGCGACATCTGGACTGAAATCTACAGACGTGGGTATGGACGTGTAACAGCCGTCAGTTCCCTGCCCCTCCTTCATTGTGACTAATCTATTCTGTGTGTTTTCCTTATGCTAAACGCTCTGCTTAAGCCTCGCCCAGGACTGGAGCATTAGTTTCTTCTGTCGTCTTCTCTTTTCTGCTCTCACGACCCTGAATGGAC